CGCTAGAGACGTCCGCAAAGCGTTCTCGCAACGCAGTGAAGAAGTTGCTCAGGTTGGTAATGGCAGAATATGCTACCATGTCATTCTTGCAACGGGCGGTGCGTGCGAGCGATCTAGCGGAACTAGTTGCTTCGACCCTTAAAACCTGAAAGGCTACCAGGACATGGTCTTCGGGAGATACGTCTTGTAAGTACACTTACGACTTAATACTAGCCTCCCAATTGTCAAAGTCTTCACCCTTCTTCCCAGTGCATGGCTCAGGGAATCGAACTTTGACTCTTTCTCGGCAGGGTCTTCCTCTTCATTGCGGGCTGTCATCTTGACACCTGCAATTGCGCCGGTGCAAAACTTCTTTGTCCTACCAATCACGGTCCGCATCTCATTGGTGAGATGAATCATCATCTCCTGGGCAAAGTCTTGAAACCCAGCCCGTTTGGATTCAAGGGCTATATCATGTCCACGGAAGTGCCTTATCCGTTTTTGCTGAGCTGCAGGAACAGAGGTCATGCTGTGGGAGAGGGTGTCAATTCTTTTTCCTATGTTTGCATCTTCCCCCAACTTGCCCCGCTGTTCCTCTGCCTCCTTTAACTCCATTTTATCTGCCATTTCCAAGCGCCTCGATTTCTCCCTCGCCAGGTGTAACTTCCACTCCTACTGTTTCTCCTGCTCCTTTGCCTGTCGTCGCAGGGGACTCGTCTCTCTTTCCAGCTCCTCCCTAACTACTTCTCTTTTGGCCTGGGGGACCATCAGCTCGGCCTCTGTCTTCCCCCAGGGATAATCCTGCCACCCATTCTTTTTACAATCTTTTCCACCTCTCCCGGTGGCGCCAGAGTGCTTGTTGCTTCTTCTCTTTCCTCCTCTCTTTCTTTTGTGCCCGCTGCTATCTGCTTGCCTTCTCTTCTCTGCAACGGGGTCCCTTCTTCCTCTCTTCTCTTTCTGGTCACTGCTTCTTCCAGCAATGCCAACTTCTTGGCCTGTATCTCCAGAGCTTTCTTCTCCTTTCTCTCCTTCCGCTCTAGGAAAATTGCGGCAGCCTTCTCCTCTTGTTCTTTAATATATGGACAGGTCTGTAGTCCAGACTTGGGTAGTCACCATGTTGGAAGGGGGCACAATCACAACAGATTCCGCTCCTCAACACTTAGACTGACCAAGCACTGAGTCTCTAAGGGACTACAGAGGTCCTTTCTTCCACCTTAGCCAGGCTACCACTGCCATCGGCTGCTTTTGCAACCACAGTGCAATCTCTTCACAACTGCCGGGTGCCCGTGCACCCACAGTCCAATCTTGCCTGGCTTTGGCTTTAAATTGGTCCTCTGTCAACTACTCGATACTAATCTACTACTAGTCTGTCACTACAGAACCTCTGGCTGATCAGGAGGCATTTAAGGAGATCCCCCATAACTCAGGAATTATTTAACGCCGCATTCAGGACGATGATCACAGCCAGAGTTCTCTCAAGACTTAGACAGACTGGACACACGATCTGCAGCTCGGAGTTCAGGTATAGTGTACCACCCAGAGCAACCTGCCGGTCTGTACCGGTCCTTGCGGTGTTTTCCTAGGGCGTTTTGCAGGGTTGTCACGCGGGGGCCCCCGGGGGCAAAGCCGGGGTAGGGGTTTGACCCCCGGACCCCCGCCGCGGGGGTGCCCC